AGGGGTCCCTCCACAGATATCAGGCCCAGAAAGCCTCACCTGAAGGGGTCCCTCCACAAATATCAGGCCCAGAAAGCCTCACCTGGACTCCTCACAGGCCCAGAAAGCCTCACCTGAAGGGGTCCCCCACCGGGCTCAGGCACAGCACGACGTGCAGGTTGTTCCGGACTCTTTCGATCAGGTAGGCGAAGAGGCTGTCCAGACTCTCCTGGATGCCTTCGGCCCGGGCCGCGTCGATGATGTGGCTTTGGATCTGGGCAGGAGAAGGGGGAGAAGAAGGTGGTCCAGGTTTGGTTGCCACGATATATATTAAAAAAACAAAACAAAACCACGTCTTGAGATTTTGGAAAGAGGGCAGAGAAGAGCCACAAAGTGGATGACAGGCCCGAGGAGGCTAAAACATACGAAGAACCATTACAGGGAGGACAATTCACCAGTGGAACCGCTTTCCACCGGAGGTTGTGTGGGCTCCATCACAGGAGGTTTTGAAGAAGAGATCGGGCGGCCATTTTGTCTGAAATGGTATAGGGCCTTCCTGTTTGAGCAGGGGGTTGGACTAGAAGACCTCCAAGGTCCCTTCCCGCTCTTGTTCTTCTAGATCTACCATTTTTTTCTCACTGTCAGGAAATTCCTCCTGAATTCCAGGTTTGCTTCTCTCCTGGATCCGTTTCCACCCGCTGCTTCTTCTCCTGTCCTGTTGGTGTTTTGGACAGGAGGTTGGGGCCCCTCCTCTCTTTGGGGCGGCCCCTCAGATACTGGAAGGCTGCTCTCATGCCCCCTCCTAGTCCTTTCCCACCCGGCCTGTTCAATTCCAGCCATCTTCGTATGTTTTACCCCCCACGGTCCCCGGATCGTCTTGGTGGCTCTTCTCCGCATCTCTTTCCAGAAGTCTCAACACCTGGACGCCTCAGAGCCTCCACCAAACTGAAAGAGGACGAGGACGGCTCGGGGTGGGGCTGGATGCTCTCCTGGTGTCACGCACCTCCTCAAACTCATCTGGCTTATAGAGATTGGGCACTTCCCCGGAGCTCAGGATGTTGTTGATGTCTTCCAGGAAGCATTCATCCGCTATCTGGGTGTCCACAAAGAGGAAGGTGGTGGGTTTCAGGTCGACCCCACTCTGACGGTACAGCTTCTTGATGTCTGCAGAAGAGAAAGGACACCCGGGCCCTCGTGGGGAGAACGTGGAAGAACGTTCTTTGGCCTCTGACCGAGGCGAGGAACCCACTGGGGCCCGGTGGAGCGCGCAGCAGAGTCGGACAGGAGTGAGGAGGCTGGGAAGGAACCCGGGCCAGTCCCGGAGGCTGACGAGGGCTCGGACGAGGGCTCTGCATCGGAGGCAGAGATGGGGCCAGGGCAAGGCTGGCAGTCATCAGCTGCCTTCAGGCTCGGACAGCAGTGAAGCGTGGGAGCTTCTGGAACCGGTTCCCAGCCTGCGCATGTGCAGAGGTGCCAAAAGGAAGGCACAATTAAGAACTTAGGGTCGATGTGGGAGTAAGGCTCGGACGAGGGCTCTGCATCGGAGGCAGAGATGGGGCCGGGGAAGGCTGGCAATTATCAGCTGCCTTCGGGCTCGGACAGCAGTGAAGCATGGGAGCTTCTGGAACCGGTTCCCAGCCTGCGCATGTGCAGAGCTGCCATAAGGAAGGCACATTTAAGAACTCAGAGTCGACATTGGAGTAAGGGCACTGTTGGACGGTGAATAGCCCCTCCCATCAGGATTAAAAGAGGAGTAAAAGCGGGGGAGGGATTTTGCAGGAAACAACTCGTCCGTTCATTCGTTCATTCATTCCAGCCTCATGGAGATTCGTCTGTATAACCCAGCCCTTCCCTGTCAGCACTGAGCGTGGAACTATTTACTGGGCAGCATTCCAGGATTGATATAGGTCTGAGCTCATTAGTCTACCCTCGCAAGACGGTTTGCCAAGCCGTTGGCTGGCGGTGAATGAACTAAATCCAGGCTAATGTAATAAAGGAGTTTTTTTGCCGGGACTCAGAATGGGACTTTTTGGGGAGGCCTAGGGCGGAACAGAATCGTCTCACCTTCTCGGAATTCTTGTTTGCGGTACTGGCGGGAGACTTCGATCTGGAAGGTGTAGTACTCGCAGATGGAGGAGGCCAAGCGTGCCAGGCTCTGGCGCCCGCTCCCTCCGATGCCCACCAACAGCATGTTGCCCCGGGGTTGGCTGATCACCCGGACGATGCGGGTTACTGCGAGAGAAGAGAGAGTGTCACAACAAACTGGACAAGCTACCTTGGACCAGCCAGGATCTCCAGAAGATGTGGGTGTTCCATCACTGGAGGCTTTTTAGAAGAGCTTGGACATTTAATGGACAAGCATTGGTCTGAAACGGTGTGGGGCCTCCTGCCTGAGCGGGGGGTTGGACTAGGTGACCTCCAAGGCCCCTTCGCAGCCCTAGGATTCCATGATTTTATCTGAGATAGATGAAATAGATAGATGGATAGATGGATGATACAACAGATAGAGGGAAAGAGAGATGATAGACAAATGGATAATTCAATAGATAGTTGATATAGACGGACAGAGATGACAGACAGACAGACAGACAGACAGATAGATGATAAATAGATAGATAGATAGATAGATAGAGAGAGAGAGAGAGAAGATAGATAGATGATAGATAGATAGATAGATAGATAGATAGATAGATAG